CCTAACCATAACCTGTGCATAAGCTGTGCTGGGCTGAGTCGGTGTGGCTCACTTTTGTGGAAGCAAACATTTTGTTTCTTCACACAAAAATAATATCGGAATATTTTTTCGTTCAGCTTCAAGAGATCCTAAAATTCTGTTTTAATATTCTGCGTCTAATTATTTACTTTAATCTCTTCTTCAAATAATAATTATCTTCAAGTATAATATTTTTAAAATATTATAAAAATGACAATAAAGCCACATTGATTATATTTATTGATATTTGCACACATTTCACAGTATGTGACGCTCGGCTGGTTTTCTCTTGATGTAAGATGTCAGTTTCATTTAAAGATTTATTAAACTTTGATTATCTGTCTAGTCATACATTACGAAGTAATGAGCTACTAAGAACAGCATTAATAATGATAAATGCTCCTTTTTATCTAAAGAAGCTGCCTTTTTTTGTGCTTTCAAATATTCAACCATGATTTGTTTTATCAGCTCAAACTGAATTTGTCATGAGATTGTGTTCACAGCGAGATCACGAGGGGTTAATTTAGATCTGAACTCAAGCACAGCTTTTTCAGGTTAGCTATTTGTGACTATAACTAGCAGCCCTTAGACTGAGGATATGAAGAGAGTTGGAGTCTTTCCTGTCACACAGACGATGCTCTTCACCACAAAGAAAATCCTCTGTGGTTTTATTTGTACTTTTTTTTCTGCGTTGCCCCTTTCATCATCTGCTCCTTCCTTCACTCTTTGTATAGGCGGGCTTCAGCTGAGGCTCGCCCAGACCTCCTCTCACATGTGTACACATCAAAGCTGCTACATGCAGCAGCCTCAAAGCACAGTGGTGAACACAGCAGCACACCAGGTTACGCTCTGCTGCTCTGATCTCTGTTTGCGGTGTGTGTGTGACAGGTGGAGAGAGCGAGGCCTGCCCTTCTGGTCCGGCAGCCGGCAGACTCACGAGAATGGACCATACAGCAAGTTCAGGACAGGTATAACAACGTTTTTCTTGTACACAGTGCTGGATAAATGTGAAACATCAACTTTCAGCAGATTACACATGTGTTCCAGTAACTTTGTCATGCTTTGTCCCCGTCATGGCTGATATTACCTGTTTTCTGTGATACGTTGAAGTGTCCTTGGGCAAATACTGAACGCTTTATTTCCCCTGATGCTTCCATTATTGTGTGACTCTGTGAGTGAAAGTTAAGGTTCAAAGGTCAAAGTTCTGCATGATTGGTGAATCTGCAACTAGACAAGACAAACTGATGAAAACAGATGTAAACATCTGTGTCACTTTCATCCCGGCTGAGGTTTAGCTTAGACTTTAAAGGTGCTGCTAGTCTGCATTCATTGAAGACTGTGTTACATATTCAGGGGTTTTTAGTACATGGAAATTAAATGTTTGGTGATGTTGTCATAAAATTAGGTTGTCCTTTTTAAAAAAAAATTACATTTGGTATTTCATTGATTTACACGTCATACTCATATTTGGTTGGTGAACGGTCAGAAATGTGAGGGAAACACTCAGATTTCTGCCAGTAGTGATAGTCTCACAGCCTTCACTTTGTTCAGTGATCGTGCTTAACGGCTGAAATAGTCACCCACACAGTGCTGTTGTAGCTTCTTATGTAGCAGGCTAGCCACCAACACTGTAGCTATTTCATGAAAACATCTGTGCATGCAGTGATCTCCTGCTGTGTGTCGTATGTGTCATGTGTGTCAGACTCCGCCGAGATCATCTGTGTTCGCTGGAGCGCTCTTCACTCTGACCCTCCTCCTGGAGCCCTTGTCTCCCTCCCCCTGGTCTTCAACCCATGACCCCCCGCATGTCAGCCCTGCATGTCGTCCCTCCAAGAACCTTGTATGAGTCATGAACCCTGTTTTTAATGTGCATCTTTCTGTGTTTCCTGCTGAAAAACTGCTTCCCATCATCCATGGAAATCATATGAAACTCTGTGAAACTACAAAGATCATTAGCTGTTATGAAAGTTTTTAAAAAGTTCAAGAACATAGCCCCATAAAATTAAAAAGACAGTTCAAGATCATCTTGTCGTGCACCTCCGAACTGTTTCAGTGCAGCTGCTGTTTTTAGATCACTCTGCAGATTCAGTCCTTCTCTGTGAGCGCTGCCACGTTAAAACAGCACTCCTTCAATTTTGGTTTTTATTCTAAGGAAGTGCCTGAAGTTTCACTGAGGCAGAGCTGGTGAAAAGGGTGGAAGAGGAGGAATAAACATCGCCTCTGTTCTGTTCTCCCTCAAACACCTCAGGATGTTAGACTACAGTCTTTTTTGGAGGGGCGGTGCCTCTGATCTCTGTTTACACCTGATCTAGTGCCTTTACGTTTGCACACTGTGGACTCGTCAGTTTAAAAAAATGTTGACAATGGCTCGGTCATATCTGGACACCCAGCTCTTATGATAACGATCTTTCACTGACAGTGTCAGTCTGAAAGTTGTTTGCTCTCTCTGTCCTCGCTGACATTGCAGACTGCCGAGGTGGTCACAATAAGGATAATTTGAAGCATTAGCGTTTTTTAGGTGGTAGTTATATCTGAAAAAGATCCTCACTACCATTTGTCACATCAGCAGTTCTTTTGACTTCACTGTCAGATGAAGACTCTTCATGATGTGACACAAAATTTCTTTTCTTGGCAAAAAGTTCCACGAGCACATCTCCTCCATCCCCTCATCACACTCTGGAGTTTTTAATGTGTGACTCTGAAACGGCCCAAACAGGATGTGGTTCCCTTTGAAAGGATTTTGTTTTGTGACTTTATGTTCTGCAGTAAATGACTTCCTACTGAAAATAAGAAAAAAGTAATTTATTACTCATTGTGCAGCTGCATATGGCAGTAATATGTGATTTGCCAGAATATTGGAGTTTGTGTCACAGCACGCTGTTTGAGACCCGCTGCTGTACAATAATTACAAATTGGAAAATAATGATCTGCAGGATTTGTGCTTGTGTATCATGCACTTACCTCAGTAGTGTACCCTGTCATTTATGCTGTCCTTCCTTCTTTCCTTCAGTCCTCTGACCTCCAGTTTCACCTTTGTATTAATTCCCACCATGCTGACACCATGTGACAGTATAAACTGTTGTCGTGAACTCACTGAACACTGTTTGGGTTTTTCTGTTTTGCAGAGCTCAGCGATGTTTGGTCCATCTCCAGCGTCACTGTCCGGCCTGATTTACGGAGCATGCCTACTTCACCCAGCACCCCTCACCTGCCCACCATCACAGAGGAGTGAGAGGGAGGGAGATTAAAAAAGGAAGGTGCAAGTCAGGAAAGGACAGATAAGAGATGGAAAAAGTCCTTGTTGAGAGTGTGATGAAGGCCTGTCAAACTCTCTGATCTTAAGCTTTTGTTATTTAATTATTGTTGCTTATAATAGTCAGTCTATTACTTAGCATCAGTTTAACACCCACAAAATCGATGTGGATTGATGGGACTTGACAGACAGTGTGAGCAGCCAACACAGCATTTGTCTTCACATTTTGATGGAAAACTCCGAGCAGTGCACAGAAATTTGTGACACCACCTTTTAACAAACAAATGAAAACTAAAAATGTTTGGAAGTCATGACAGAGAGAGCAGAAAGTAGACGGCACACTCTATTCTCCATCTGTCATCCTCTCGGTCTGTGGGTGGGCCGCCTGTGGAAGACGAACAGCTGGAAATAAAAAGCCTTCATTCATTTCCCATCAGAGATGAAGCAAATGGACTGTGGACACGCGCCCTGGGGTGTCCGTTTCCATACTGTAATCTCATGATGCCATTAAATTCCTCAAAGTGAGGACAGTTAAAGACGAGACCAGAGGATGAGGACGTTTTCATTTCTGGTCATTCGGCACGGTGAACGAACAAAATAATGAACGTCTGCAGCTGCAGTGATCCATCAGTCACCTTTGTGCGTCTGCTCGCTGATGAAGGACCAAATGTTGATCAGAGACGCTCTGTGATAAACTGTAAACACAGAAGAAATGAAATGGACTCTTACATATGAGCTGTGCTTTTTCATTTTCAGCTGTACAGACATCAGGTGCATCAGACAAAAACCTTAAACCATGTCTTAAATGATCATTTGTGTGTCTGAATTGCTAGATTCAGTGTGTGAACTCGACACTGTTGGACTGACAGAATGAATGTAAACCAAAGGCTCGGGAAGGGTACAGTTCATCTGTGTACTAAAGTGAATGTAATATTAAGTTTCCAAAAAGTATGCAGATTTTTGGCTGTATGTCCAACATGACATTTTTCCCAGGGTCAGATCTCAGTTTTACCACCGTGGGGAAAAAGTCATTTAAATTAGTTTATATATACATATATCTCTATATATTGCTGGTTAGCTTAATCTATAAGTACTATAGCATAATTAATCAGTAGGTTTATTTTTTTATAGTAATAGTCTAAACCTGCAATTAATAACTAGAGCTTTAAGATAAATGTAGTGGTTTAAACGTCCTACTGTAGGCTCCCCCTGCATGCTGCAGGCATCACTGCTCGAGAGAGACGGCGGCTGCTGTCAGCCTGCAGAGGTTTACAAGGAATCTGCAAAATGTAATGATGGTGACAAACTAAACATTCAGTTTGTCTGCATCCAATCAGCTTTTGTTTTATCTTCTTATTTCAGTCGCTCTGTCACCGTGTCAAACACAGCTGGCGGTGGATGGTACCAGGTGTGAAGTTAGTTTTGTAGATCAAGGACTCTCATTGGCTTTTTACCTGTACTGGTTTTGAATGTGATTGGGTCAACGTGCCACTCACAGCCCTTCATCTTTGCTGTGTGTGTGTGTGTGTGTGTGTGTGTGTGTGTGTGTGTGTGTGTGTGTGTGTGTCTTTTACAGTTTATGGATCCATCAGTTTGCTGGGGTCCACTTTGGTCCAGGTGATGTAAATTTTCTTATCTGATATAAAGCAGGAGTCTCCGTGTGGAGGCCTGCGGGGGCGGTTGGGCAGACTTTGAGCAGACTTCAGACATTATGAATGAACACCGCTCTGTGATGTCTGCAGCTGACTGTGTATATTCCCCACCACTGCCCTGCACTCAGATTCAAACCCAAGTCTGCTTCAGTTTGTCAAAACAATCACTCTCACAAGCTTTTGAAAACCCCTCTTGCAATGCAGAGAGGTTTATAAGTTTAGTGGCTTGACTGAAGCAATTCAAACGAACAGAGTCGCACCTCTTCCAGGTTAGGTGATCACATGGTTAAACAGACCTGATGTTGGGGGTTATTGTGGAGCAGGCGCTGCAGATCCACCAAGAACAAACTTGTTTATGGTGTTGTGTTGAGTAAAGTGGGGGCTGAATCTAAATCTAAGCTCCCAAATCCTTTTAACCGTCCGCATGGCTCTATTTTAGTCACACTGCCTCCCTCATTGCCTCTCCTTTCAGCAGCCTTGTGGACTTTCTTTGATGTGAGAATACTGACTGCAAGAAAAGTCTGTTTGTTAGTAAAACGTGCCAGCGGCACAAACTGCCCGACACGTGGGGTTTTTTTGTTTGTTTGTTTTTTAAACTGGCTGCTGGTAATTTTATTTTGGTGTCTCATCAGTGCCAAGTGTGGTATCAGTGTCAGAGAAACCAGACTACTTTAATAAGTGCAGTATCAGCGTTGTCTTCAAATATATACCCAGTATTTCCTGGCTACACACTGAATCTGTACTGTGTTGTCTTAACTTAAACTGATTTCAGCGATGAAATGCAGAGCGTCTTGTCAGCTTTGCAGGTGTGAAATCCGCAGGGTGATGCGGCCTTGGCTTTTCTGCTGTAAGCGGATTTGTTTTTCATCACTTTGATCGCACATCATACGTAAATGTGCCGGATTCTTATTTAGAAAATACAAAATAGTTTCTAAAAATTCTCCAATGGTGACTCATTATGCTAAAAGTGCAGTCTTTGCTACAAGCACATGTTTAATGGACCAATTTCTGTGTGGAAATGTGAGTAAAAACAAAACACTGGAAACCTGTCGACTTGGCGTAAAAAGTAATTTGCTGCGTTTTTTTTTTTCTTTTTTTGTACCTCCAGTGCTTTTATCCGTCCTTTATTTGCCAGCTCCCGTCTGCAGTGCTTTATGTCAGTGTCTGCAGGCTCAGCTCTAAACATTCAGGGTGAAGAGCAACAGGACAGAGACAGTTTTGTTAGCTTTGACCAATCTTGTATGTTACTCCCCTCCTGTCCCCTAATCAGGGTCGTAACACTGATAATGAGAAGTAAATTAAGTGTCTCGTGTCTTAATCAAGGCACAAAATAAGACTTTGTACCCCTCAGCAGTAAAAGCCTGATGGGACGTTATCGTCACCCTGCCGGGCAGGCCGGTGGCATGGACACAGTTTGTGAATGGAGGAGAACGAAGCAACATTGATACCACGGGTGCATCTTCTGAGAGGTTGAGGGTAACGCTGGCAGCTGTCATTATTTTCCTATAGTGTTAAAATCTGCACAGTTTTCAGTAAATTCCCAGCTGCAGACTTCGGTAAATGATAATTCATTTAAATACTCGCCTCCAAAAATCTTCAAAAAAGTCAGAATTAAACAGGACAGCTGAAATCTACCAGTTATATATGCAACGAGGCAGTTGAAGTCTGACACCAGGTGTCCTTAGCAAATTCAAACGGTAGTTTTCAACAGAGGGTTTTGTGCCAAATTTCTCCAATTTTAATCAATTCATAGATTTGAATAAATGATTTTGTTGGAAACTTGGAGCTGCTCTCGAGCAGACTTGCAGCTTTCCCTGTTCTGCACCACACTGGACTCCCATGTTGGGCCCACAGAGGGCTGGGTTTGGTCCAGCAGAGGGCAGGGAGACACAAGACCTCCGAATGATTAAAGAGCTCAATAAACAGTCACAACAGACTCCAGCCTGATATGATGCACTGTAATCTGAATGTGTAGTTGGTGTTTGACAGTGGCTGATCTGCTGTGTAAGCTTGATGTTTTAACTAGTTTCTGTAAACAGCCGTTTTTAGTTGAGAGTGATACTCGAGCATCCAGAAGAATTTCACAGGACAGGCAGCAAACAAACAGCATCAAAGAAATTGTGTAATACGTTTATCAACATGCTAATTGCAAATAAAATCTACTCAAAATCATAAAAACGTAGTTGATATTTTGTGACTTTTGACCAAAGAAACCTACGAGAGTAGCTTTGTGCGATTGATGCCTGAAAATCCAGTCCATCCTATTTGTCTTACGGTGCTTTGCTGGTTATAGCATTTATGACGAGACCCGGATTCTTCATACAGAAATAATTATCCACTAATCATTAATAGGTTTTTAAAAAATCGATTGTTACCACCAATAATAGGCGGACAGACGTGTTTAAGTCCGCATGTGTTTGAGAAACGCCCTTTTATGCCAGTTTTTCAGTTAAGAAAAAAAGTCAACAAGCAGCTGGGCACACAGCGCCATCAGCAGGCAGTCGGGTCGTCGCACTTTGGCCCAGCAGTGGGCCCGTTTTACAAGCAACTCTTACAGTTTATGCTAGAGACAAAATCCAAATGGTTCCTGAAAGATGAGAACTGTCCAGCCAAAACTACAAAATGAATTCAGGCATCCTGTTTGATACTTTAGGTGATAAAGTTTAAGACTCACTGAGACTTCAGGCCTCTCCAGGTTGAGGGGTTAAACCGTCCAAAACAGGCCACCTTTAATAAAGACTGATGATCTGGATTATCTGGTGCTTGGAAAGATTTCGTTTCGTAGTCAGTGCAGCGCCTCTGCTTTGCTGTCTTCATTCCTGCAGGAGTGCAAACATTAAGCGGGTACAACTGAGGCTGTCTGTTAGTTGTTTGGTTCGTCGATCCTGGAGGGGTCCTGTCTGCACACAGAGGTTCTGTTCATTGGCTGCTCTTTAAATGTGACTCATCTTTTAATGTTACGGATGTAAGAAACATTTACAGGCAAAGTGGGACCTCTGAGGTGTTACATGATAAAAATCACTGAAAAGAGCATCGAAAATCTTATGTATCGCTTAGTGTTGTTTTTGAATAATGAGCTTCACACTTGGTGCTGAGAAGTGGTCTGTGATATAATGTAATATTATAAAACTAGTATCATAGTTCAGATGCTAATCTTTCAAAATGTTAAATATGTTCTGGTTTTTTTACATTGTGCTGTTCTGACCTGCAATATTTTATTTTATAAAGGAAATTATTTTGCTTTACTGTAACTTATCTGATGAAATGCTGCCGTCACCTGGTATTAAACATTACAAACAGAAGGTTTGATTCTTGAATTTTACAGACACGCAGTACAAAGTAGCAGTAGACCAGAAATCCAACTTTAGTAAGACATTTTAATCTTTTAGTATTTCAGACGTTTGACTGATCATACTTGTTTTGAATATTACAGTAGTGAAATTAATTAAGTTGAATCCAGATTTACTGAGTGCTTTGTACAAAAGTGAGAGCACACGTTACAGAAACACTACAGGAAGTCAGGATGATGAGTTACACAATCAGTCAAAACACAGACTAATACTCTGAAAACAGAAACACAAAAGGCAAAAACTTCAAACGCGAATGTATCAAATGGGCTGATTGGCACAGTTACAAACACCAGTTTATTATACAGACAAAAGCCCAGAGCTGGTTACCAGAAGAATGAAGGGTTCAACAGGTCGACGTAATGAGGTTAAAAAAGGAACCAGGCTGGAATTTCAAACACAACAAAAACACAATTATCATGTAAACCTTAATAAATTGTAAATTCAGAGCAAATAACTATAAAAAGGTTAATTAACTATCAACAGTGTTTACTGATTGTGAATAGGTTTGTTGCAACTTTATGATAAACATGCAGATCATTTTTATTACCTTTACCTTCTGTTCAGTTAGATTTAGTGGATCATAGTTTAGGTTAAAATATCAAACCTAACAACTCACACCGAGCCCCTGCACCACCAGACCGACGCCACCGGACACTCAAGTCTGAGACACCAGCAGCTTCGACATAAATTTATTACACAAACGAAAGTCAAAAACTGAACCGTGAGACCTTTATTGTAGTATTTTTAATTGATATCTGACTTAGTTTCACTGTTCTTGCAGGTACAGATGCTGAGTCGCTGTACATTTCCAGGAGCTCAGCCTTGATATGGAGCTACGCGTTTGCTTCTGTTAAATTCATTAGTTGTTCTCATTAATAGGACTTTCATGAGCTAATCTATAGTTACTCAGTAATGATTTGCTAATACTTAGGTATTCAAGTACAATTTAACCAGAGTACAGGTCTAAATGGATTTTGCATCTAAAACCTTTAATATGTATTAAAAGGGAACTCGAACTTAATATCCATAGTTTGCAATTTCCAAATGTACTCTTGTTTTACTTTAACTGGGAGTTCCAACAGAAATCAGCAAGTGTGGTTTTTCTTTGTACCTCGTAAACATCAAAAATGATGATGATTGCCGTGGCGTATAACCAGAGTAATGGCGACCTTTACAGGTCAAAGTGTGTATTTAAGATTTATGTTACAGTGAAAATATCAGCGTTTTTAACAGCATGTCTTAGCAGGAGAGGACATTTACTTTGTGTCTTCCTTCTATATTTTTATATCCCCCTTGCTATAAGGGCTACGTAACATCCAAATTTCTCATTCGCTGGATAATAAAGATTTAAAGACCTACACAAGTAGGTAGGCAAAGTTTACTTTAAAGCAGGGGCGGGGGAACTCTAGGTCTCAAGGGCCAGTGGCCTGCAGGTTTTAGATGTGTCCTTGATTCAATACACCCGATTTAAATAGTTAAATTACCTTCTCGACATGTCTTGCAGTTCTCCAGAGGCCTGGTAATGAATTAATCATTTGTTTCAGGTGTGTAGACCCAGAGTGAGATCTAAAACCTGCAGGACACCGGCCCTCGAGGACTGGAGTTGGCCAAGCCTGTTTTAAAGGCAGGAAAAAGTGACGTGACTGATGGTAGTTTGTTTTAACTCAGGGTCCACATTACTCATCAGGACAGTATTGGCGTTGATCCTCATTCGGTCAATTCCAGTTCAAAAGATAGAACTCATCCATATTAGGAAAACTGAGATTCAGCTGAAAACCCCAGAACCAGCTAACAAGTGACCTTTGAGAACATTTTTACAAACTAGAATGTAAAAGCCTCATACAGGAAGAAGCAGCAGCTCTCACAGAAATGACGCAATACAGGCAAAAATGTAAAACTGAACAGTTGTAAAGAAATAAAAAGTGTAAACATAAACCATGAGTATTAAAATAATCCCCTGTATTAAACTGTGACACACTGAAGTCATTAACCTAAAGATTAAAAACATGTTACAGGTCAATTTAGTGTCACAAAAACAACAGAAAAGTTTTAAATAAGCTCAGAGGTGTGCTACGAAGGACGTTCACCACAGCCAGGTTTTCTTTGTGCCAGCTGGACAAAGAAAAACCTGAAACCAAAGTCACGTCATGTGACTTTATCCACAGAAAATGATCCCCGTGAGTGACACCTACTTTAAAGTCACAGATGATAAAAATAGTGGTACAAATTTGAATATTTTTATTCAAGCCAAGCGCACTCTGCGCTGCTGATTATTTCTAACCTGACGGCTGCACATCAGAGCTCTGAAACCTTAAACTGGACACATTTAAACAGTGAAATACTTGAATAATCTTAGTGTGTGTTCTGGGTTCTAGATGCTGCAATTGCAGCAGTGTAAAGCAGACTAAACTGTAAATGAGGAGCACTTATAAAAACATTTCCTGCATTACCAGCTGAGTACATGCAGATTCACATGTCAATGCCATGCAGAGTTTATGCTGCTGTAAGTTTGTCATGGTAGTAAAGTGCAGCTTAACAAGTTGCATATCAAACGTATTCCCACAGCAGAGGATTCATATTGCACTTAAAGCATGATGTAAATGTGAGTCAGTGACTTAACTCTGAGCACAAAACCTGCTCCTGACCAGGTTATTGTGCCAGTTAAACAGAGCCACTTTCATGACAGAGGAAACTCTGACTTTAAGCTCGACATGGCCCACTAAGCCATTGTAGTACACCCCTCTGGCCTCCTCTCAGTTTGGACCTAATGTCAGGGAAAGAACTACTAAAAACAAATGATGAACTGGAACCCAATAAGAGCAGACGGTACACATGAACATAAAATCTCAAATGTGTCTGACCTTGACTTCCAGGAAGTGTATCAAAGAAAAGCCGTAAACTTTTTGACTTTGAGTATTTCAAGATGCTCAAAAAACAAAAATCACTAAATCTGCTGTAAGGCTCTAATTTACACACATGAAACTAACGGATGACAAATGTGTGTTTCAGGGTATTTACAGAGTTACCAGCTAAATTTAAGACCTTTTTAGCCCTTTTATTAAAAATTTATATACAGTTTAATATCAGTTTGAAAATCATTGATGTTAAATTTACTGAAATGTAAGTTCCTGTTAATGCTGCAATATGAAACTACTGCTATTTAGTCATCTGGATAAGATGGACGGATCGAGTAATTCAAAGAACAAACATTTACTCAGTGAGAGATGAGAAAATATACGTCTTTAAAAGACTACGCTGTTTTTACGCTCTCAGGCTGGATGGTTTTTGTGATCTCAGATAATCTTTTTCTACACTCTGAGCTACTTTTTAAAATCAGCCTCAGTTTGATGAGTTCTGACTCTTCAGCCTCATGTCTCAGCTGAATGTTTGTGCATTTTAACTCCTTCTGGGGTAATTTAGATGTCTGCAGAGTTCATCAAATTATTTGTGAAAGTGCTGAAGAAACAAAAGGAATCAGCAAGAAATGGCCTAAAATAATTTATTATCTGTGTATGTATTAAAACATGTAAAGTTTGACATTAGTTTGACCTAAACATGTACAAGTGAACTTTAATGGATGGATTTGATGAGCTTATAAGGAGGCAGGGGGTCCCCACAGGTGTGACATCTGAAACACGTGATATCGTAAACATCAGGCAAAAGTAAGAGGCTTTATTAATGCTCTCTAAAACCTGCACAAACCCTGTTAACAGTCAAATATCCCCTTACAGCAGTCTGGCGCATTAGCGTGTTGCTATGCTAATATGTAAAAATGCTCAATTAGAAGTCAGGTTAGCATAAAGTGCTAATACAGGGTCATGTTCAGGGTCACTGCAGTGTGTACTTAAGGCTCAGACCTGACGATAACAGCGTCTTCTTAAGGTGACGCAGTCAGAAAGGACAGTTCAGAGGTAGTCATCCTCACTGGACGGCTCGTCTTCATCATAGCTGTAGTGGTAATTGTTGCTGGGGCCTTCGCCGGGGTCGCTGCTGCCGCTAGCATTCGAACTCTCCCAGGTGAACTTTGACCCTTCTGAGCTAGCAGAAGGACTGCGGCTCATCCTCCAAAGGTGGCTGGTAAAAGTCCGCCCCCAGCTGCAGTGCTGGCCAATAGGACGTAAGAGGCGGATGAGCTCAGTGGCCTCCTGCCAGTAAGAAGTTCACTTGCTGTGGCCCCGCCCTGACCGGTGCTTGTTCATGGTGGTCAACATTTGGCTGATGTAGGAGGTCAGCAGGTCATCCATCTTGTAGCCCTGAAGGTTTAATCACACAGTCAGCTGACCTCTCCACTCCAATCACATTTTTTATTATAGTTTTACATAAATGAAACCAAAAAAAGTGATTTAAGTGGAAAGAATAAATAAACTGATACAATCAAGTTTAACTATACTATAAAACAAAGCTACAATGTCTGTGAAGGTTCTCAGTCATCTAGGTCATCGTAGTCAAAGGAGCTTGCAAAGAAAAGCGTCTGGACTTCTTTAAGTTACTTGAAGACGTTTCACCTCTCATCCGAGAAGCTTCTTCAGTTCTAAGGTCAAATGGTGGAGAGTCCCAGATATAAACCTAGTGGGAGTTTCCCCC